AGGAGAAAAAGGTCCATGAACATGCTTGAAATATTTCTAGAAAGCCCCGAATATGTATCCTAAACTAAAGGTTGCCATATGCTACATTGGCATTTTTAAATTAATTAAATAAATTATATATTTAACAATAAGTGAAGAAAATAACCTTTTTTGCATGAGATATTGAATTTTGGGAAAAAATAATACATAAATAAATAAACTGAAATGTAATCCCAAAGCACAGACTGTATTAAACCAAATCGTTTGATTATAATTATAGAAATAATTAAGTTAATTTTTATTGACATATCGTTTAGTTGCTTATCACCACAAGATCTTACATCGATTTTAATGTTCACATGTCGAAGTATTTATTCCAATTTTATTGCGAACAGGCGACAACTTAACGAGGCAGAAGCACTCTTTAAACCATAAATTTCAATGGAAATAAATTGACTGCTTAATGAAGTTAATTGAAGGCAATTTAAAGATAAAAATATAAAAATTTGCATATCCATTTCAACTGTCAAAATATAAATATATATATATAAAATGAGAACTCGAATGAAATCAATACAAATGACTCTACGCAGATGTCGCAAAAAATTAGTACTTCCAACTTACATATATCTCATAGTTAACAGAACTTGGGATTAAATAAAAACGGAATAAAAACCTAAACAATTGTTTCAAATAATTAAAGGAAAAATAAGTTTAAATAACTTATCAAGTCGACAAAAGGTGTGCTAGTAGATTAAAAAATGTCTAATAAAAAAATCTGAATGCTCGAGAAACAAATTTTCTATACCCCTTAAAAACATTTTCAAATGACTACATAAAGCTAGCTCTTTGAATACTCAACAAACAATTGTCTCCCACATTTTATACACTCATCCATAATATTCGACGTTTCGTCTTTCTTTATGCTAAGAAAAAGTTCTTAGTGAAATAGTTCTATAAATAATGTGTTCCATGCTCCGCTCCATTTTTCAGAATTAATGCAAATTCTCGTCTTATCGTGTATACTCTTTTTTCAGGTAGCTTTTTACATCATAAATCCAAGTTTTCTAGATGCTGCCTCCACTCACCAATAATCCACCAATAATCGTTGCCCGCTAAATACTTGCTTTTAGTACTTACTTATGTTATGGTACATACTAAAGACATATCCAAGCTATATTAAATGCTGGTATTTAATGTTTTTATCACATTTTACCTACTGACTTCCATAACCCCAATGTGAAATTGTTATTAAGTTAAGAAACTCTGCACTGCGATCAAGAGATCTATTATAAAACAATTGTGTAATAGCGCTGCACTATATATTATAATATTATTTTTCGAATCAGTTTTCTCTCATATGTCAAAAGTAGGTTTACATAATGTAATCAGTCGTCCATATCTTGCATTAATAAATAAGAACGGTACAAATTAGTGATGTATGCAAGTAAATAGTCCGATTTCTTAATTGAACATTAGTAAGGAGTGTAAGAACTTCTTGAGCTTAAAGCATATTCTTTCGCAGTTCGATATTTATCATATATGGTATTACTGCAGTTTTAAACCTTTTGAACTTGTTACTGTCAACGATTGTATTTTTTATAAATTCCTAAATATGTTACTATCGAAGTCAAATCGATTATAGTTAAGTCTGCGTTTTTAATTTAAGAAATATTCTGCTATCTTCTTGTATCTTCAAGTGCCTTCTCCGTTTCTCACTTTGATTTGTTCCCAACTTCTGAAAAACGAGGACTTGGATTTTTACCGACTCATTGTCGTGGTTACCTGATATGATTATTATTTTTCATAAAAGAGATGTTGTCCTTCTACTGAACCCTTGTCGTAAATCTTTAAGCCATGATATTTTACTTTGGATAAGAACTAAGAGGTTTTTGCTTTAATAATAGAGCAATTTCGTCCTCATAAGCTGGTATCTACTTACACCACCACAAGTTCTTTTATTGGAGGTAACTTTTTGTACAACATTGTTTAATATTAAATTAAAATTAGTGACGATAGAGCATCTCTCCGTTATCCTGATGTTATTTCATTGGCATAGGTAAGGAGATATTGAAAACTAATGAAAAAGTATAAAGGTGAAACATGAAACCTTAAAGGCACTATAAGCTAAAAAAACTTTTATAGATCGATTTATATATGAAATTGCAAATTTATGTAGAATTTTTGTAGATAAAATTAAGGTAATAGCAAGAACTATATATGCGGAAAGAAAACTTCTTCCAAAGAATATTACGAATATATCACAAGTAATCAATTCTTACTTACATCCTTAAATTAAATTGAAATAAGTTAAATTAATGTTGCCGAATAATTATTTAATTATTAAATAAAAAAAAATCACAGCACATATTGCAATTTTTATTTTCATTAAACAAATTACAACGAAGGCAAGGACTTCAAAATTTAAAATATTTTACATTTACGATCCCGAACCCACGTACATATATCCATCCTTCTGCATTATTTATTAAGTGGTAAAACATTTTACGCGTTGTATTTTTAAGTGTCTGTGTATATTTTACAATAAATATTGCATATTTTTATTATTGTTTTAATTGATTGTTTTATATATAACCACATATATTGCACATATATTTTTGTGTACTTTAGCTCTGGTTTTCAATCAATAATAAAAATGCAAATAATTTGTACTCCGTGTAATGGAAGAACAATTAATTACTTTTACGGAATAACTTAAATGTGTAAATAATTTAATTTAATATTTTTATAACTTAAAAATGAAATGCACAGTAACCAAATTCAATAAAAAATCCTATTAGCTTTATATTCCAGTAAGGAATACGCAAATAAAATGCATAATTAATGCAAATTAATTATTGCAAATTAATATTAATTTAATTCTTCTTTAATTCTTTAGTAATCAACTTAAAATATTGTACAACTTTTGTTGAAGCACATTTTACGTAGCTGCAAAGTTCGTACGCGGATATATCTATATAACTAAAAAATCAATCAATAACCAACAGTTAAGTATATACTGTTAAGTATGCAGGATATAGAGTACAAGGCATGGCTTTGAATATTAAGAAAAAATTGCGAATACTTCTTCATGTGAAGTAATACCATACAAACATCACACTAGAAAATAGATAGTACATACTTGTGGCAACCTGTCGGGTAAGATATGTGTGTCACTTGAGCAGTAAAATGTGGACCCATTTTAATACCACGATTTTAAGGTACATTTACTGTTTAAAAGAAATCTAGATAAAAAGTTTACCAAAATTTCCTAAACTAATATTATAATATTGACACTTAAGAGAAATAGACCCTAAAGTTAATATGTGAATACGATTTGGTACATTGAACGACGACCAAGAACTTTAGTGACAGTTTTTCTACCTCTTTTACCCCATAGCTATAGCAACAGTCATAGAAACCCCTAATCGCTCGGAATGTTAAAACTAAAATCACAACACTGAATACAATAAGAACTAAGGACTTTATACATCACCGTAGTCAAGAAAGAGTCCATGGAATTTATTACCTCTGCTTACGATCATTACAATATAACTATCAAACTTCGTTCTGGAAAGGTGAGGAGACAATTTATAGTGGAAAAAGCATATGTGTAAATTGTAATATAACTATCCAAGTAAATATATACAAATTTGATTGCAAAATTTATATGAGATGAAAAATAAAATTACAATAGATATATGTAATCAATGGAAATGAATTTATGAATTTATTTTTATTAATTCAATAAAATTTATTACTGACATATACATATTACGTATATCTAATATACGAGTATATATGTAATTTTACTTACATATTGAGTGCTGTATCTAAAACTATTCAATTTTGTATATATATAACATAAAATATATCCATAATATATTTCGGCAGTGTTTTAAATAAATATATTAAAATTAAATTTTAGAAAGAGGTTTTTCGAAAAGTATTGAAATACAACAACAAAAAAATTTTTTATATTATATTAATTAATTGAACTTTTGGCTGACCACATAGCTATTCTTAGAAATAGTTCTTGCTTTTTATTGTTCGTAAATAATTTTTTTGAGATTGCAAGTAACAGGAATCGAACTCGTGCCCTGACAAATTTGAAGTTCAGAGTCAGCTCACCTTAACCAACTGATCCAAAACCGTACTTGACTTCTATGTTCGCACATTTTTTTGGAGTTTTATTAATTTGCTGTGAAAGTTTTACTAACTAAAATTTAAATTTTAGAATATGTCGATTTTATATAAATAAATATGTTTAATGGAATCCGCTAAATACATTCTAACATCTATTCAGTTTAATATGAACATAATTCGTTTCCTATCTCCTACCACCTCAAAACCTTCTTAGTAATATGCGGAAGCTACTGCTTCACATTTGTGATATGTTATGAGTACTTGTTGTCATAGTCATATGCTTGTGGAAATTTGTTAATTGCATTCCGAAATGAAAATATCCACTCTCTATAGCACTAACGGCATTGACGCTTTGAGTTCAGTACGAGTTTAAATGATGTTGACTGACAGTAACAGCCACTGGGTGGGATCGCATTATAGCTACCATGATAAGTAATATTGCAAATTATGTGCCGGTTCCGCTCGCGGGAGCCATTTCAAAAACGAATTAAAAATGACGACCAAATCTTTTGGAGGCGGTCACAATATAGATACTCAGATACTTTGTATTTGCAGATAGGCTCCAATGCACCATAAATTTATGCGCACAAATTTATGTAAAATACATTCCGAGTGCATATTTGGATGCCATGAAAACAAACTACTTTGTGGACTTATAAATTTACAACTGTTGATGTAGTTTGAATCTGTTATGTTGCATAAATTATTTGCTTCTAATAAAATAGATTGAATGCATCTTATGACATGGTTCAATGTTAATATGTGTTGCATATTGTGTACATCCAATATAGGTTTCCATATATGTTATATACAACCAAAATTAATCCAAACGATTGAAATTTTTATATTTTATTTTATTTGCAGACAATTAAAAAAATTAAATTTTGATCCAAAGTTGGGAACAAAGCGATGTATATTTTAACAATATTTTTTCCATACCATAACTTTTATTTCGTTGTGCAAACCTCATCGATTTCTGCCGTTACCACTTATCGCAGCGCATACCTTTATTAGTATAATCTCAAGAACTCAAATTTGTGATTGAGTATCAGCAGTTTTTGAGAAACTGCTTCTACGGCGTGTTGGTAGCTGTTCGATAGGTATATGCAGAAACCCATATCTAGTTATATCAGTGCTAATTGTACCTTGGGCAGGAAAACATTCAGGCTTACCATGTTTCGACGTATTCATTCGCCAAGTACCCTTACCCAACTTAGCTAGCTCCTCTTCGTATGCTTTCTTTTCTTTTCTAAAAAGTTCTCGCATACGTCCCTGACGTTGTATGAAAGTTATATTTTGTACCACACCCAGTTCTGATTTTATTGGAGTCAATAGCGCATCAATACCAAATATACGTGTATTCTCACGCGCTTCTTTTAAAGAACTTATCTTTGCATCTCTTAAAAAATTATATTATTCCATCAAATTTCTTTTTCTTATATCTAGTACTTACATATCCCAATTAGACAACATTTTGAGAGATCTTATAACTACAAAAATTTTGAATTTATGTTACAACAAAAAGATCTGTTGAAGTGATTTAGTGACTCAAAAAATTTTTAAACACAATGAATTTAATATTTAATCTACAAAATGTTTACATGCAATAAGTGAAGTTATCGATAATTTAAACTATTTAAAAATAATTCATAAACAGTTTTGATTATCATATAAATAGTTATAGGAAAAATTTGACATATGTCACAAAACCTAGTTACTAGATTAGGAAACCAAAAATGCACACATTCTGATGACAATTGGTGCTTCAAAGTATTCGAGCACCACGATGTTCAAACAGCTCGAGTATACATCCATTCAAACATTAGGATCGAACATTTTAAATGTTCGAAGATGTTCGAGTTCCTCGCCTACCTAATCTCGATTTTGCTATATATCTTCACGTTGTTTTGTCTAAATACTCTAATACTTAATACCAAAAATCATACATTTTGATGACAATTAATGCTTCAAAGTATTCGAACGCCACGATATTCAAACAGCTCGAGTATGCTTTCATTCGAACATTAGGATCGAACACTTTAAATGTTCGAATATATTCGAGTTGCTTGCCTAGCTATTCTACTAATGTTGTTTTGTCTAAATATTCTACGTATTATAAAAAAATCTTTGAGCCCAATACGAGCGTTCTCAAACGACTCTACTAATCCCGTAGATTATTATTATTGTTAGGGGATGTGACACTGAGACCGTCGGGTCACTTGTGCCCTCTTTCCCGGAAATTGTTTTAACAATAGTATCTTCAAAGTTGATTTAACATATATAAAAATGAAATATATTTCTTTAAGAACTTGATTTAGAATTTCAGAAATATCGGGTACATTCTTTATTTCCATGTATATACTGCGATTTCTCAAATACGTATACGAGTATATCTGTATAATTTTTTACCGTAGAATATTTCGTATATATTCTCATTTTAAAGAATTGTGCTTTTTAAATATTCTGGCACGACAAGTAAGTAGCAATACTTGGTTTTTTCGTATTTAAACTTAATTTTTAATTACGTAGTCATTTAATATATTTTTCTTTAAAACTATTTATTTATTTAACACTTCACAGTTATTTGCATAAGGAGTGAGTAATTTTCACACCTTCACATTTTCACAATTTTCCGCAACAGTTTCCACTGCGTTGCAAAGAGAGTTGCAACGCCAATTTCCCATTAAATGGACGTGGTCCACTGAGTGCATAAAACTTTTTCGCATATTAATTTTCGTAATGACTTGAAGCCATTCCATTCACACTCAAACATTACTTTTTTATAATTCTGTGAAATAAAATTTATATTGTGCAAAATTGTAATTCTTTATAAGACTTGCCCAGAGCTCAATTAAGATGTCTCTTTATATGTTTACATATGTCGTCTCATGTCAGTTTTATCAAAAGTTCTTCATGTAAAATATATCTTCATATTTTTTTTAAGCAATAATTATAAACCACGTTCTTGCATTATTTTCCAAAAATCTTATATGCAGATATAGCTTAAAATACCCATATCAGTAAAGTATCTCAAATAAATAATCATTATTCTTGCTCCATCAGATCTAAATTTTTTTAAATATTGCACTCCATCTTATGTACTTAGTATTTTTAGGATATAATAAAAATAAGGACGAAAAATCATTATAATTGCAAAAACAAAGAATGTTTATTACAATTGCAATTATCGTCTCACTTTACTCTTTAAGACTCATAACATATTAACTGACCAAATATGCTGTAATAATAAAAATTTTAACTGCTATGTAAAAGATATTAGAAGAAATTTTCATCAGTTTGGGTTGCTGCTCTATTACCTTTTTTATATACCTCATTTTTCTAAAATTGGGACCAATCTATTAACTATGGACTCAGTAGAAGTTGTGTCACTTATTAACTTCTCAAGACAATGTTGGACGCTCTCTCGGAGACTATTAGCTAGCCTTATTACTCATTTTATCTAAACAATAATTATATTCGCATCATAACGGCAGCATGGTTCGTGGTCAGGTCGACCAGGGATAATCGTAACATTTTTAATTTTTTTTCTCTGATTGAAATAAATCATTTTTTCGGAAAACTAGTTAGTACTATTTTTAAAAGACTGTCCCATTCAAGAATCTCATAAGTCTATAAACGTACTTATTCACCTAATTTTAAATGAAGGCAGAAAATGGGTGTCAAATTTTTTGAATTTTTTCCAAACCAATGGTGTGCACTGACACATGAGGTGGTTTGCAATTTCTTTCTCGTAGAACAATATCATCTAACATACTCCAAAGAAAATAATCCTTTTTATACTATTGTGAATTTATTATGTAAAAAGACATGCGATAACAACTAGACCTCATTAAGTGTAAGGGACTGCAAAATTTTAGTTTTATTTGCAATATCAGAACTCTTTTCAACTCTATTTTAAAGTCCAAAATATGTGCGATGTTTTGTATATCAGATATGAATATAAGCTCTTAGCCCAACATTATCCTCCTTATCCAAAGTTCAAACACCAAATCACGGAGAATGTCACTTTAAATGTGATGCCTTTGTCGAGGTAGTATGTATACAAATTAGCATATCCTGGTCTACTGGTTAGCTAAGCTTTGTACTGCAAGGAAGAGATCTTTATTTGTAGCTATGAGGTTAAGTTATCTATTTAACCTGACAGCTACCCAAAGTGTCGTGTTTATAGAAGGTGCTTTTCGATTTTATTCCAATTATTGATTAGAAACCTAATTGGGATGCAATTAAGTCCTATACACAAAGTTGTATTGCCGATTTTTGCGGTTGTATCTGCTGATATATTAACTAGTATAGATGTGAAACATATCTTATTTGTAGGAAAGCATAAGCTGAATATGAAACCCTTAATTTAAACCCTTTTATAAAATTATCTCAAAACTTGAGTCGATTTTTTGGTGTTTCATATGTGCCATTATCTCTGTTATAAAGACACCTCGTCTATTTTAAAATTTCTGAGAAATATAAGAAGTTCAATGATCACATCGGACAGCCATTCGATTTGCTGGCTTTTGTTCCCGCAGATTCCATTGTAGCTGAATTTGCAATCTTAAGTACTTTATTGACTGTGCTTAAGCGAGTGATGAATACGTGGAGGATTGTTTAATGAGCTCAGCACGGAAATGTGTTAAAAATTGTGAAAAATATGTGAAGTGAACGAAAGTTGCATTTAAAAGGAGGTGTGAAAATCACTTGGATTTGCGAGCATAAACATTTTGTGGCGTTTTTATTTATTATGTTAAGCAGATTCCACTTAATACACTTGCCTGCCATGCCGTGTTGTGCCATGCCATGCTGTGATATGTGCCGTGCCGTACTATATCGTCCCGCCGAAGAACAGCTGTCAATGGAAATGCATACAATTAACACGATATGTCAACATTTCAAATGTTATTAACATATTTTCATGCTAAGAAGCGCTGCGGAGGGGGCCTAGTTTAATTCATTTAAGCCTGCAAGAAATTGCCAGAGCTCAAGCACAAGAACGGGCTTCGTTAACGCAATAAAAAGCTTAAGCATGTCAAAGTGGCATTTGGGGCAATTGGGATGCACACCCAAATGAATGCTGCGATGACTTAAGCCAATGTAAGCCAGCATTCATCAATATTTTCACATATTCGTATGACAAATAAATAAAGGCTGAATGACTGACTGACTGACTGACTGCCTGGCTGTTTCAGGCCTCTGTGCTTGAACCTGCAGAGCAAGGAAATTTCAAAAATTTTTTATTTAAAATATACAATTGTAGAATTCGTTGCCTTATAAATATTTTTATTTGCGCTTTTCTGTATATACCAAACAATATACTATATAAGTAAATTAACTTTTTTATTTATTCCAGCGAAGCGCCGTTGGAGATCATACGAATTCGATTTAAATTACTACACTTCAGTAATTGTTAATCGTATTTGATTGTATTTAATACAAATTTAATTATTTTTTTTAAACGAATTTCAATAAAATGCGATTAAACCTGACCTTCTTTAATATTTTATTCAACTCAGTGGGAATTAAAATGTATATAAAACAGTTTGTGGCTTAAAATTTCAAAAAGCATGAACCGTTCTATCGACTTTTTTAAAGTATAAATTTTTTGGCCACAAATAAAATCTCTTGATTCCGCTTTTTTTTTTTTTTGAAAAATAAGTCTTTAGTATGGAAGCTCTACTATTCCATTTTGGCAGTTTAACATTGCGTGAAAATTGTCATAAGAAATGCGGAAATATTGACAGCAAACATTCAAATTGAAAACAGCACTATAATTCATTTTAAAATAAAAATCCTTACTAAAACTTCGGAATGCAACTGAAAAAAAAAAATCAGGAATTGCAATCACTTCAATGTGAATAATGGAAATATAACCGGATGCACATGCATACTCGCATATCAAATAAATGAAAAATTGAAAGCCATCAAAAAGGAAAAATCCATTGCTCGAAGTGCGAAATCCACAAAGAATACATAAACGTGACTCAAAAAACAATAATAAAAATACTTCCAAAAATCAGAAATGAAACCTAAAAAAATAATAAAATAACAATTGCAGTTCCTGTACGCGATGTGTGAACATTCCACGGATGATGAAGTGGTTTCGTTTTGTTGTGGTATTTGCATATAAAGCCAAAACTACTAGTATTTTATGCACACACCATTTTTACACCGAAATTACCAAAACTGTTGAGCAAACTTTTCATTCATATTTACAGTCATCGAAGAAGTAATATCCTTTTTTAATTAAAAAAAAAAAAAACTACGCTGAAGATTGCAAAGTAATTGAACACTGTTCCATATTTATTGTTTCAATACTTGAGTGGTTCCAAAGAATATCCAACTGAACACTGCAGTGCTGTGGCAAATAAGCTGACCGGAGGCATGGAAATTCTCCATCCAACTGAATGCCAAAAATTGCCAAAACTGCCAATGTTAGCAAAAATAATGGTGGTGCTTAATTCATTTCCAATCCATTTTGCTATTGGATTTTCTTGTCGATAATTTGCGGAATTGATAGAAAAATCATTTCTATTTCATAAAAATAAAATAATATTCAAGAAAACACCAAATTGGGTAATGAAATACTATGTAAAACAATAGTGGTGTTCACGA